AATTTTCCAGTTTTGCCCATCAATCTCCAAGGTCCAGGGCAATACTAAAAATCTGGTCTGGTTCAGGGTTTCAAGTAAACCTACACTGCATGTACCTCGGGTCTCACCCTGGCAATTGAGACAGGCTACCCCAACCAACTTGGCGGCACATCAATGTCAGCCTTGGCCGGATAAATCTCCCTAGACTTATCCAACGGTTGTGAACATTCTAAACTAACACGAGTCTCATATTTGTCTAGTTTAAGGGTATTACACAGAAACACACCACAATAATATGAATCAAATATGTACTTTATTCACTTACAATAAATGTCATAAGGTACATCATTCTAATTGGAGCTAAGGGCATACACTATCTAACAACTCCCACTTACACTTAGGTCTAATCTAGTATAAGCCGGAGTTCCATACTTTCCACGTGTTTCTCAAACACTTTCTGTGTCAGTGGCTTAGTCAATGGGTCTGCTACATTCTCTGCTGATGCTACCTTCTGAATCAGGACGTCCCCTCCTCTCGATGTGCTTGGACTTCGAGTGGGCTCGAGGCTCCTTAGCCTGAGCAATCGCTCCATTGTTGTCACACAACAATGGGATGGGTAATGTGTTGGACGAAACTACTCCCAATTCTCCGTATGTGATGAATTTGTTATTTCTTTTAATAGTAATCGTTTTACCAAAAAGAATAGAATATCCATCCGCACATAATTTTAAAACATAAATCAAATTTCTTCTCAAATTTTGTACATAAAGACAATCTTTTAGTACAAATGATCATTCTCTAAAAAATAACTCTACGGTAACTATGGTCGTAGCTGCAACACTTGTAGAAGTCCCCAAGTAAAGAGTTACTTCTCCGTCACTTAGTCTTCTGCTTATCCTGAAACCCTGCAGTGAGTTACACGTATGAGTTGATGCCCTGGAGTCAATACACCATATAGCAGAAGTAACCAACAAATTGGTTTCTATGACCTAGGATTCGAAATTACTTTTCTTGGATTCCAAGTACTGAGGACAGTTCCTCTTCCAGTAGCCGGTCTGTTTATAGAAGTGACAAGCATCTGATGCTCTGTCATTCTTCTGCTTCTTGGACTTGGTGGCTTTCTTCTAGGGCTTCTTCTTTGCCTTCCTCTTTTTCTTGCCCGACTTGCTAGCTTCAACAAGCATAGCAAGAGGCTCATTCTTCTTGATCAATTCTTCGGCCCTTTGCAACATATTGCTGAGTTCCTGAATGCTGACATTCAGCTTGTTCATGTTATAATTCATGATGAACAGATTGAAGGAATGAGGCAAAGAATTCCAGATGGCATCTACCTTAGTGACATGGTTCAGTCCAGATCCAAGAGCCTCAAGTTCATTGATGTAACCCATCATCCGAAGACAATGGTCATGAACTTGTTGGCCCTTGGACATCTGTGCGGTCATGAACTGTTTCAGGACCTTCTGCCGAGTAGAACGATTATGCTCTTCGTACATTGTCTTTAGACTGTCTAATATGTCCTTGGCCAGCTCGATCTGATCGAACTGCCTCTGTATCGGATTGTCCAGGGAGGCAATGATATAACACCGGGCTAGGGAATTTTTCTCTTCCCACTCAAGGTATTCCCTCCTACGGGCCTCAGAAGCCCTATCTCCTGGACGCTCTGGGGCAGGGTTTTTTGCTACCTTGTCCAACTTCTCAGAAGTTAGGATCAACATAAGGTTACGGTACTAGTCAGCATAGTTTGGGCCCTTAAGTTTGTTGTCATCCAACAACTTTGCAAATTGTCCGTTTGACATTTCTGGTAAAAAGCAAACATTAGTCCACAACCTAATTTGATTCATGTTGTGTACATAGATATGACTTTTAATCTATGTTCCATTTCCATTTGTTCATCTCTGAGATTTCACTCCCATCTCAGTGACGGAGATAGTGACTTATGTCTCTGGAAATGTGGGAAATCACATAGGGTGCATGGAGCCAACTGTTTCAGCTGCATAACCCCACCACCTTTCTATGAAGGATCATATCCACTCATCATATGAGCTTTCCCTTTGGCCTCTGTCAGACAAGGTTCATTGCCATTTTAGGTTAAACCTTTCTGTCTAGTAAAGTGCTCACCCATCATAATGCCAAGGTATCGTGAGAGAGTCTTCTATTTTAGGATAGGCCCCTCCCACATCGGTCTATGACGCCCCTATCATCTTATGAAACATTCCAACAGATCCAACAACA